TTTGAGTCGTCCGTATTATTTACTTGTAGAAAATTGTAGAACTCCATAGGCTTTTTACCCTGGTTCGCTGCAAATTCAAATAAAATAACAAGATAAAAAATTATTAGTTATGTGAATTGCAACTACAAATGTATAAAGATAATAAATTAATTTAATGACGAAAATGATATATGACTAGAAGAAAAAACATGATTTGCTATCACAAAATTTGATCATACAAAAAAATCGGCTAAACTCCAATTGCAAAATTTTGGAACATAATATTTTCATCACTAATCCCTGAAGACTCATCATATGATCGAACATGCAAACATATTTTATAGACAAAAAAACGGGTCCATCATTTTGAGTTTTACCTTTGGCGTTTAGAGCGATCTTTCCGGTGAAAAACTCCTTGAGGAACTGAAGATGATTGATATGAGAGAATTGGTAATTAGGATAATTAATAACGTCTGCTGGTAATATTCTTTTCCGATCACCACAACTCATCATGATTTGTTCACTCGCCACTAAAGAAGAAGACGAAGACGTTGAGGTTACAAGACGATGAGGCTTAGAGGTTTGGCGTGTGCGACGAGCCATAATGACATGCCAATGGTTCTTGACCGCGTTATCAGTTCTTCCAGGGAAAAGCCTAGCTATGATCGACCATCTGTTCCCGTTGATCCGATGAGCCGCTAAAAGCCTTTCTTCTTCTTCTTCCGTGAAAGGGTTTCGGTTTATCCTCGGATCTAACTGATTAAACCATCTCAATCTACAACTCTTACCTACATATATATATATCAACACAAATCAAATATTTAACCAAACCTTAGTTTTGTAATATATGGACCAACCCTAGAAGATGTAATTACCAGATCGACCATGGAGCTTGAGGGCTATAGCGTTCCAATTATGAGGACCATATTGTTCGACCAGATCCTTTAGCTTCTCGTCTTCCGCTGGTCTCCAATGGCCTCGACTACACATGATCCGTTTTTCTTTATTCCGATCTATTTACTAAAAACGAAAAGTAAACCGATCGGAAATAGTTCAAGAACAAAGAGACAATATCACAAGAAATGATTGGAGATATTTTGTGGGTTCATGTATTT